GGAGGCTGCAAGTGTTTCTGGGAATATAAAAGAAACGCTTGTGAAGCATGGGAAGGCGCTGACTGATGAGGTCATGCAAAAGACATCATCTAATAAAGCCCAAAAAGTACCTCCAAAGACCATCTAAATGTCAAGTGTGTTGTTGGAGAGATTGATGTCCTCAGTGGTGCGGTGTAGGGGAGGATATGCCCCGTCTCAGATGAAGACCTCAGTAAACACTCAACTTTTCCTGTCTCATCTCCCCTGCAGCAGGATAGAGCCCTGTCGAAACTCTGGGTTTCTTTCCTTTGCCCATGTGCAGACTCAGCCAGAGCCTCCACGGTGGAGCATGAGTGAGGCTGAGGAGAAGAAAAAAAAAAAGAAAAACCCCCAGACCACACCAGGAAAACAACGACTAAACCCTATTCTTTCAGACCACTAGCCAAGCAGAGCTCAATTGCACGCTACACCACCAACGGCCAAACTGTGGTCAACCACTCTGCCCTTCAAATGGAGAGCACCGGCTCCCCAAAAAAACATAACCTTTTCCAAACGAGGTGAAAGACATGAGACACGAAAACACGCGTGACCGCCTCTGATAAAACACTGTGTAATTGCATAACACTACATCAAGCAATAACACTTCGCTTCCATGTACAACAGAGTTGAAAAGGACATCTAAAGTCCTGTATTGTGTTATCTAAGTGAGAAAACGGCGTGGCCAGAGCATTACGGTTTGTCAGTGTTTCCCATAGGTGGAGGAAACGGGAAATGCCGTTAGCGCTGTGTGATCTGATTTATTGTAGGGAGCAGAGTAAATAATCAAAAGGTGACTCTCTGTGGGGAGAGAACTGGAAGAGTTGAAGAACATAATCCCATTACAGTGCCTCAGGGTCGCCCTGGTTGGGGTGCACAAGCATCTGCATCAGCATCTATTTCCACAGGAATATTTGATTTTGACAGAATAACATTATCTGTTTTTAAAAATCTAATACTTTAACTGTAATACAGTTAAAGTATTACATTCAACGTGTTTGTGTATTGGGTTGGCTGACATAGGCTACTTATAGCGCTGTAGTTACCAGGGAATATGTGGAAAGATTATAGAGATGTTGGTCTTTATTATATTTACAATAACCAGTAAGCTAGCAAAGCTACGCTGACAGCACAGTATGTACCACATTTTAACACACGTGTTTGAGAGTGTGTGAGTTCGCAAGCAAGCAGTGAAGTTCAAACAGTAAACTAAAAGTGATAGCTCAAGGCCTGAAATAGCTAAAAGTAATTGCTGAAACAGATAATACTAGCTAGAAGTAAATGTTTGAGACAGAAAAACCGCTAAAATGAATGGATACATGTTGAAATAGATTAAACTAAAGGAGAAAGAATTAGAGAGCTAAAAGTAATGGATAATAAATAGCTAAAACATCCATCTTCTGCCACTAAACACTTTCATTGTGTGAACAAATGTTTGTACCAATATCCAATTTCTGTTAAATAACACCCAGTTTATATTCATAAGAACATATTAAACATGTCGCGTAGAGTTGAAGGGGTCTTAGGGCTCCTCTGATACCTGTGGGGGTACATCAGTCAGAAAAAGGTTGGTACAGAAGATAGGTTGGAAGCATGGATATCAGGCTGCTGTAATTTGTTCCCCTTACACAACCGAAGAGATTGAGAAAAGCAAACGGATTATCACAGAGAACAGGACAAAACGCTTTGAACCATATACATAATGCAGCAGCAGGTGTGCGTTATCCCGAGTTCATCTGCGAACTCAGTCAAGCACAAATCCCCTCAGGATCCTGCAGTGTGCCCTTGTGATCTCTAGGTGGCACATTTCCCCACAGACTTGCCCCACTCCATCTATACTGATAGCATGAGCTGTTTAGACTACATGGGCCAAATGTAAACTCCCCTGAGGGAGGGGAGTCTGGTTCCCCACCTAGATGCTGCAGAATCGGGTTGCATGTTGGCAACAGCAGAGTTCCCACAACTGCAGGGGACAGTGATGACAAAGCTAAGCAAACTTATAGTAGAGGCACTGCTGCCAAACCTAACAGAGTGATGGAGAGGTCATGAGCCTATACATGCCGGCATACACTTCTCTCCCTCCCGGTTTCCTCTTCTCATATCGAGGCTCAGTTTGTGTGGGCTGACTGGAAGGTCCTCTCCTGTTAACTTGATCTATCCCTTGTTCCGCCTCTGTCTTCCTCCCGCGTCCCATATTTTCTCAACATGACAGAATTTAAATCTTTCAGCAGATGGAGCGCACTCCTGTTTTCTCTGGCCGGTTAGCGGAGGCAGGGGAAGAGGAGAGTGGATGGGAGTGGGGCAGACTCATTCTACTCGGTACAATAACAAAAAAAAAGCGTATATTTTTTTATTTATCACGATTCTGCCTTACTCTGTCCTGTGTCTTCAGAGATTAACTGCAACAATTCTGATAATCCTTATTAAAGTTTGTTCTTTTTCCAGCTTCTTGCATTGTGAGGATTTGCTGCTTTTCTCTGTTATAAATTGTGTTTTATTGTAAACTTAAAATTTTGAGGTTTTGGACTGAAGAAGCCATTTGAAGAACTCACCTTGGACTCTGGGAAACTGTGATGCATATTTTCCACTATTTTCTAACAACGATCAATTGACTGACTAGACAATCAGCAGATAAATCAATAATGAAAACAGTTGTTACATGCAGCCCTGGTCTTTACCTGCCTGCAACTTTTGAGTCCAATCTAAAAGTATTAAACTGAATTTAAAGAATTTCTACACTTACTGTACATTAACAATATAAGAACAGGGCCCAGTACTGCAGCACAGGTTTGCATGTTGCAGAAGAACCAGCCTGCTGATGTAGAGGAGGGTGTCCCTGACGTGACCCTGGCTACTGACACACTTTTTCCCTCCACTAGCATTAATTGAAAGGGAAAATTTTGGGACCTTGTTATAGGTCCCCCTTAGAGAGGAAAATCTTTCTGCAGCTAATTGGATTTCCATATTTAACCAATTAGCTAGAAAAGCTACAAAGCAGCTCTGTGCTTACGCACAGTCACACCGGAGCATGTTGTCCTTAGCATCAAGTTTCACTGTGGAAACACAGTCAGGACTTTCTGCACCATTAACAGAGAACAGAACTGAAAATCAGAAGCTAGGAACACACACACACTCTCCCTCACACACACACACACGGAAATAAAACGGTTTGGACCTGCAAGTGTGGTCATCACTGACGGAAGCAATTTGTTTCCCCTCTGTGGGCTCGAACACCAAATGGTTAATGTAGCTGCTGTGGCCCTCCATCACCTAGGCAACAGTATAGAAAAACAATATGTAAAGAAAAACAGCAAACACGTGATCAATAAACTGGTAAATGAGCGTCTTCTAGCAAACTTGGGTTTACTACACTGGCTGCAGCTCTGCTTTATGTGTGCACGGCTACATTTCCTGTATCACTAAGTACCGAATGTCAGTGCTAAGTAAAGAAAGTTTGATGCCGACTGACAAGCGCAGTCCTTGCCAATGTGCTCCAGATGTTGGACTACCTTGACTTCATGTCTATCCTGAAGATCAGAAGTCAGCAGGCGTAGCTTTCTGTCAGCTGCAGCAGTGCAAAATCTGCAGAGAGAGAGGAAGAGGAAAAGAACGAGAGGATATAAAAACAAACAAAGAGAGAACATCAAAACAGAGACAGGCTGTATAGACCCAATGACAGACGACATCTCTTTCTACATGCATGCCTGCAGCCGCCTAGACTGACACTTCTGGATGAGAGCTGCAGTGTGTGTGGTAGAAACTTGGACAGTGATCAGTAGAAACGCTGCCAGGGAGATTCTAATTGCAAGCTAAGATAAACAGGGAGAAAAACAAGATTCCTCACGCCATTTACGCATGTCTCAGAAACCTGTGCAGAGCCAGGCAGAGGACTTTCCCTCTAATCAGTCGTAGTATACACCAGTGCCTGCAATTATTCACACAATTACACTAACTCACTTATGACAAGAAAAACACACACATATCACCAGAATAAACAGACAGCGGTTCACACATTTGCAGTCGCAGGCACAGATGGATTTGGCATGATGTCACTACAAACACCCTTAACGTGCTTCAGGGTATTACTGCTACAGTAGATTAGATTATATTAGGATAGGCCTTCTAACCCTACAAATTAGTGTTGTACTTTGGAGTAAAGCATGGAACATATTCTGGCTCTTTTTGCTGTTTTTACTTTAATGTCAAAGCCATTTTCTTTAGTGGTGTCCAGTAATCTTGTGTAATACAATAAAAGTCACTATTAGAAGTGAAACTCAATTTCAGCTTTGCTGTTGTCGAGCAGTTTGGTTGTTTTAGTACAAGATAGAGGTGAGAGACCAGAGTTTATCCTTTCCTTTGTGATATCGCCACAAAGTGCACCTCAACAGAGACCTGAAAACACAGTTAACACAAAATTCAAGTGAGTTTTTTGGGAGACAGGGAACATCTTTCTTCTTCAGTTGTATCGACATTTGAATTCTGAAGCCTGGCATGTTGTTTTCTTCCTGCAAAATCTTCCATTGCACATTACACATTATCTTTAGGCTGACTAACAATATTTTAGTTTTTTGCTAGACACACTGCATTATTTTAAAGGAATAGTTCAACATTGTGGGAAATATTCCTATTTGTGAGTTGGATGAGAGCATTGTTGATACTCTCATCTCTGGAGCGACAGCCAGCAGTCAGTTAGCTTAGCTTAGCTTAGCTTAGCACAAAGACTGGAAACAGAGTTCCTCTGTCCAAACTTCAGAAACCCACCTACAAGCACCTCTAAAACTCACAAATTAACGCATTATATCTTGTTTGTGAAATAAGATTGCAAAAAATTGTGGGTTTTACGAGTTTTTGTGGCATAACTTAAGTGTTCAAATTGTCCACCTGAGTTATGCATCTAATTTTTTCCACGAGTTGCGCGCAGTTCCCAGCCAAATCGTCGTTGTCATATCGACAATATGCCAGCAACATACACACCTTTCACTATAGTTTCAATGTCTATATCTGTAGAATATGTCACAGACATGCAAAAAAAGTTAAATGTATTCTTCAAACTCAACACCTCCTGTATCTGTTTTCAGATTAAAAGCTTCTGTGTCCAGAATCCATTCATATCTTCTTTTACTTTAATCTCAGTATAGAAAGACAGGGCTGGCAGCAGCAGACACGCAGTCGGTGTAAACGCCGCGTGCGTGCCAGACCCAGCTGTTCAGCGCCGTAGCCGTCACGCGCCACTAAGGTAGGCAGCGTATACTGAGTGTTATTGTTTTATTAGACTGCATCAAATGAAGTGTGAAAAGGCACACCTGAAGATTGCAAAGACTGTTGAAATGACATTTTTTTTTGTATCTAGAAAAAATTGCCTTGCATAATTTTGGGGCATTTTTCACTGTTTTTTGGAAAGCTGATGCAGAGTAGACAGGAAAAACACAGACAGAGACAAGGCTATGACATTTCAACAGTCCCTGGTTGGAATCCAAATGGGAAATTCAATGTTCCTAACCATTCGGCTACCAGCATGCAAAACTGTCATCAGTCTACCTGTGGGGGCCAAAGGGTTTTAAAAGCACCAACCATGATCTCTCTTTGCGCTCAATTTCCTGAAATTACTGTCAACTCTCTAATGAAGCCATAAAATGCCTACTAAAATACAAAGTTTGGCTGTTGGTTCAGTGTATAGTCCGACGGTATTTACTCAGCCCTTCATTATGTGCCACTTTCTGACTGTAAAGATAGACAAATCTGTGTATTTAGTGGTAGTCAGTTATCATGTGTGGGGTGTCTGGTCTTTGCAGGATACAGTCATTTTCAAATCCTCTCATTACAGGCTGCTGTGGTGGATGGTGGCTGCACTGCATGTCGAGTCCCCCCTTTCCTCTCCTCCCCTCATCTCTCTCGCTCTCTCTGGCCCCCTGCTTGAGGCAAGCCCGTGAGAATGTTGTACTTTTCCTGGAAGGCACGGTTACGTGCAGATCGAAGGGAGGGATGGAACCTGAGTGGGTAGTCATCAGCGCAATAACATGTGCGCACGTCACAGGGCTGGCTCGAGGGCCCTGTGGAGTAAACCACAGAAGGCCAGGAATTATCGCTGCCTTTCCTTTTCAATTACAGAAAGCTTAAACACCTCCGGAGGGACTGCGGAACCTTCCCATCCACCGCTCCAATTAGGAGGAAACTCTTGCTTTCTAACAATCTACAGTTAGGCTTCTTCCCTCCTGTCCAAGGCCACCTGAAATAACTTGGCTCACATCCTGGCAGCTGTGCAGCTGTAGTGTGACAGTGAGAGACTACTTTCACACAGCGCAGTGGCTGCTGTGCTTTCTCTGCAACTGTGTCTTGAGTGTTTGTGAATAATCATCCTGTTATATTTAAAGACATAGATGTCAGGTTTCTGGACTGGGAGTGAAGTATGGCCTCCTAATCGTGTTACAATGGTCTGGTGACCTCTTACATAACAGGAGAGCACTAGAGCTGCAGATGTCTCACCATAAACCCCATCTTCTATTAAAAAACACCCTAACAAGGTCATTACTCAAATTGATTAATGATCAAATATGTTGGTAGTGGTATCAAATGTAAGGTTGGTGGTTTGATCCCTAGTTACTCCCCCAAAAGATGCATATGTGTGTGTGCTGCATTGGATAAAAGCCAAATAAGATGCTAACAACAGATGCTGTGTGGTAACGCAAACACTAAAAGCAACATCTGTCGTCAGTGCTGGTGGGAATAACTGAGATTTGGGATCTGTCATCTGAAAAGTGAAACAGCCTACTGCATTATCAAGGTTGCTGTTCAGAAGCAGCAGTTTAAGCACTAATGACACTAAAGAGCAGCTCCTAAGATAACTAGACTAGAGCATCCCTTAGAGATTATGTCGCTGTGTATGGCCTGTGCATGTGTGATTTGCATCTGCATTATACTGAAGGAATCTAAGAAAGTTCAAAATCAATCAGTTTATAAAGAGTGAACGATATTAAAAAGCAACTATTTAATTATGCAGCTTTTAAAATACAAAACGTGCTTTCCTTGTTGCATGCTAATGCCTGTTGTTGGTCAGTCACCTTGTACTAAATGTGATTAACAATAGTCACTAGTGACCATTAGTACTTATTTGTGTGACATTTGGGGACCAATTTGCATTTCATGTGCATTGAATTTCCCTCGGGATAAA